GCTGGGGGTGGCCTGTGCTGGGGGTGGCCTGTGCTGGGGGTGGCCTGCGCTGGGGGTGGCCTGTGCTGGGGGTGGCCCTGGCTGGGGCGTGGTGTGCTTGGGGGTGGGCCGTGCTGGGGGGTGGCCTGTGCTGGGGGTGGCCTGTGCTGGGGGTGGCCTGTGCTGGGGTGTCCTGTGCTTGGGGGTGTCCTGTGCTTGGGGGTGGCCTGTCCTGGGGGTCACCTGCGCTGGGGGGTGGCCTGCATGCACGTTTTTCTGGAATGCCGGATTGCCACTCAGATGGCAGGAGGCAGCTCAGAGCTGGGACAGAGGTTGTCCGGTCAGCATCCATCACTGGGTCTTGTCCTGTCCACTGACCACCGAGGCTGCCTGGCTGGGGGGAAGAGGGGGTCCTGGACTGCGTAACTGGTTGACCCATGAAGGGTCTCTCAAGCAGCCCCATGGCCACAGATGAGCTCCTGCCCACAGATTCTGCTGGGGGCCCCCTCCACTGCCCATGGACACCCCACCCTGCAGGCGGTCTCCCCTCTCATTCCGCTGACTTCCTGGGGTTCCACGTCTACACTCAGCCCTCAGGCCTGGCGCTGGTCCTGTGTCTCCGTCTCAAGACTCGGGGTGTTCCCCGCGGACCTGGGCCACCGTGGGAATGTATCCTCGCGCACGCTGTTCATTTGCGGCGGGCGGCGGGCGGTGAAAGCCCCCGTGTCCGCAAGGAGCCCCGGGGGGCGAGCGTGCGGCGTGTCTGGGCTCCTGCTGGCGTTGGACTTGTGCGTTTCGCGTAGTGGCCGCGTAAGGGCGGGGGCCGGCGACCCCGGCAGGCTTGGGGGGACTCACCGTGAGTGCAGCGGGGCCCCGGCTCAGCCCCCACCATGCACGGGGAGTTTTTCTTTTCTCGGGCTGAGAATTGCCACGTGGGTGGAGGATCGCCACGTGGAGTTGACGGTGAGCTGGAAGAGGACAGCAGAGGCCGACGGGGACCTGCGTCGAAGGGGCTTTCGGGCCTTCGCCGTGGTGGGTCGCTCCTGCCCGTGGGGCCTGTCCACACTCCAGGCTGAGGACAGGCTTGGAGGCCGCATGGGCTCTCTACCTTTGGACTTTCTCCTCCTCTTCTGGAAACTGTCAGGGGCTGCTGGGTTACCCAGCAAAGTTGGAACTCCCCGGACGAGGGGCGGCACTGACCCCAGAGCTGAAGGGCGCGGCTCCTGTTCAAGGTCATGGCTTGCTGTGGTTCCCCTCCTGGGCCTGTGGGGTCGTGGCGCGTGGCGGCACGTGGGGGTGGACCCCGTCAGCAGGGCCTGGTGTCCCCCAGGCTGGTGAAGTGTCCTTCTCACCCTGCAAGTAAACGCGGGCATGGAGAAAGCCCGGGGTGCAGCCCCGAACCCGGTACTGGCGTTCGCATCGGCTCAGTTCAGACTCGGGGAGGCACGTTGCCCACGTGTGTGCTGTGGTGGACCTCCGTGGCTGGAGTGTGGCTCACCACAGGCGGGGCCACGTTTTGAGGCCTGAAGGCTGAGGCACCAGTGTCCTGCTGTCCAGCTGGGCTTTCTCTCCTCCCAGCAGAATGTGTTCACTGCCTGTGGCAACAGTCCCGAATTCTCACCATGCCCTCTCTGGCCTCTGTCGCTGTGGCCTCTTGGAGGACGGCCTCGCTCGGGCCATGGCTGCTGTGGGGCCTGGCAGAGTGGGCAAGGGGAGCCCCGCCCAGTTTTTATTTCATGTGGACCCCGGGGGCCCTATGGAATTGCCAGGCCTTCATGGCCATGGCCAGTGGGCTGGCCTGGTCATGACTCAGACACACACAAGAAAGTTTAAAAAGCAGAATCAATTGTAGAACAGACACAAGACCCCAGAAAAGAGGTCAGACACCCGCCAGCTGCCACGTCCCCGTGAGCAGCCATTTGCCGCCACACCCCAAGGAGGCATTCTTGGTTTGGGGGAGACACTGGCCGCTCCCAGGAATCTTCGTGGGCTGAGTGTGTCTTCTGACCTTGGGCACAGCTCCTTTTCCCCTCGTTTGGCCTGGAGGTTTTGCGTCTGCGCCTTCTTCTTTCCAAAGGATGCTGTCAGGGCTTCCAAAGACACATCTGGGACCTCCACACGGGGTCTGGGTCGCGGCGTGGCAGGGCCACCTGGGCTGGCGTGTGTGGCTGGATGGCCTCTGCGAGTCCCGTGGACGTGCAAGTCATCGCCCGGAGGCAGGGACCTCGGAGCAGTGTCCAGCCACTGCCCCTGGACTTGGAGCCTCAGAACCTCCCAATGGCTTTTCAACCGACAGAAAACCACACATTTCCAGATGCTGTGTAACTTATTTTCAGTAGGCAGATGGCCGTGAGGGTGGGGATCATTGCATAGAGAAAGAGCGAGAACATTCCAGAATGTTCTGGAACATTCTGCGGAGAGGGGAGAGCAGACCCTGACAAGCAGGGTCTCCAGAAGCGCGTGAGCCCCAGAGGGTCTGAAGTCAGCGGAGAACTTAACTCGTGATGGGCGACTTCCCTTGTGAGTAGGAAGTAGGAAGTCGCTCATTCTCCCATTTCTGTCTTCAGGGAGGGTGAGGTTCTGCAGGTGGTTTTCCTCTTACTTTACAATATCAAGTTTTCAGGATTTTTATGTTAACTTGAATGGGGAGATTTGAGTGGCCTCACGTGGTTTTAGTGAAGTGAATTTCTTTATTGTTTGCAGTTCTTTTCCTTATAAGACGGTGTGTTCAAGTACATTCATATGTAAAAAGCACAAACTCAGATTCCTTTACCCTACACCTTCTGCCTTTATGTCCTGCTTCGGAAATGCCCTGTGGAAGATACTGTCAGTTCCCCAATGGCATGAAAGAGACTTCTTAAAATGTGCTATTTGGTAAAGCCTATCTGATTTGACTTTCAAGGTGCTTACAGTAATTAAAATGGGTTTGGGATATGCCTATTGCTGGCTTCCTGAGCTTTGCTTGCAGTTAACAACTTTTTCTCCTTCCTGAAGAAGGACACCCATGGGTGTCATAGGAGACAGCTATGCCTCCTTCCAGCTGTCCTGTGTATTTTGCTAAAACAGCTCTGAGGCTGTGTGGGGCAGTCCTGGAACTTTCTAGAACTAATAAGCCACGACCACAGCCACTTTGAAAAACAAAAAACTGGCTCACCGAATCCTTTCTGTTTTCTTTTTGAGGTGTTGGTGAGCCACTGGGCTTGAGCACCCCGCTGGCGGTGGGTCTTCCTGGCGATTCATGAGCAGGGACAGAGTCACTGGCCTCTTCTCTCCGTGGTAAGTAAAACACAAACGGGGATGTGGAGGAACCCACATTTCTGCTGGTGGCACCGTGAGAACTCATGACTGAGTTTGCCCTGTTGTTAAATATGGCAGTGAATGAACATATTTTCCGAAAACTGCCTTTTTTTAAAAAAAAAGATTTATTTATTCATGCATACAGAACTGGGGTACAGGCCAGAGATGCAGGGGTGGTGAGAGGATTCCCCAGGGACAGAGTGGGGGGGGGCAGAACAGGCAGACGGACGAAAGACACTGCTGAGGGGAGCAGCGGGCAGTCAGGAGAGGTCTGCCGCGCCCTGTGGTCACCTCCGGGGCGGGGATGAAACTCATGCTGAAGCGGCTTTAGCTTCTTAGTGCTGTGCTTTAACCCGTTGCCACCAGAGAGGGTCCGAAAACCGCCTCTTGTAGGACAAACCCATTCTGAACCCCTCGCCAGGTGAAGTGCCCCCAGAGACCAACTCCCTGGTTCACAGCCCCACCCGGCCATGGTGTGATTCTCTGCTGCAAATTCTGAGCTCCGCCCCTTTCCCTTGGCCTGCCTGCCCCTTGTTCTCTGGCTTTCCTGATCCTTTCTGGAACTTTCTCTGGGCCCCTGGACCTCTGGGACTCCTGCTCTCGGGTCCCAGTGTGTGAGTCCTCATCCCACACCAGGGCTGTGCTGGGCTCTGCCTGCTGACCCCTGGTCCTCAGGGCATTTCCTGGTCAAGGATCTCCAGGCCACTTCCAAAAAATTCAGCCAGCATTTCCGTTGTAGGCCTGCAGATAACTAGTTTCTAGATGTAGCATTTTAATTTGTGCTCTTCTGTGTTCTGCCCCTTGTACTTATTAAGGCAAACATACAATTATCTTGGGCTGCCTGATCATTATGCTTCACTAAAGAATTTGTTACCAAATCTTCCTCTGTCATTATGAGCAAAACCAGATCTGAACAGGATTGACACTTAAATCAGGGGATAGTTCGGTGACAACCTTTGCCACTTCGATCAAACAAAGTGGATCTTTTTGGCTTTCAGTGTTTCTGTTTTTTAGTTTGACATTTTCTTACAAAAAGAGACATTGCATTTCCACGGTACTGGTCATCATCTCAATAGATTGCAAGAAAAATCAATTAATTTGTGCTCCTTTCAGGAGAGGAAGAGGGGACTGCTGTGCCCACGTGTGCATTCAGGGGTGCACTCGGGCACACGGAGCCTCCAGGTCCGAGGCCTGCGGAGCAGAGCCCTGCAGGTGACCCTTAGAGCCACCGGCCCCAGGCCGCTACTCCATGAGGGATGGAGGTGGCCTTCTCTTCTATAGCAGCATCAGACAAATAATACCTGATTATAAATGTAACAGAAAACGCCCATAGGATCTATGAACAGGAAATAGCAAGTTGTGGAGTCATATATTTAATATAACATCGCTCATCTTAAACACACACACACTATCTTTGCGCACAAGTCCGTGCGTTCATAAAGTCTGCTAGAACCTCGCTGTCTACGGAACTCTAAACAGACTGCCTCAGAGACGAGGTGTTGGCTCTCTGTAAGCTCTGCCTTCGATATCTAACATCCCGCGGCAATCAATCCCAAGTTTGAAATCCCGTTTTCGCAATGAAAATGTGATGAAAATAATAAATGCTTATTATGCAAAATGCATAAAAAAGGGAGAATACACCCATGATGCTGCCACTGAAGACAACCACGACTGTCACTTGATAACGCATTTCTGACAAGTCATTTCAGAGTTGAAATAACACTAGACTCCAAATGCTGAATGATGCTTGTGACTTGCTGCAAACTTGCTACCCTTTGCATGTATGATATTGATTCCTTACCACTGAAAATGGTCAGCTCATGTCAGTGTGTGTGTGATGTTCTGTCATGTACAGTCACTCTGAAAATTCACTGTCACTTTATTTCCGGTTAACAAAGACAGTGCTCGTGATCGTGTGGATTCCAGGCGGCTCGCTAGATTTCCGTAGGTCACGTGCCCTGTGACAGGAGGAATGTAGTGTCTGCCATGGGGGTCTGAGAGAGCGGCGGCCGTTATTATAAAGCCTTCTTTTGGGGGACGATCAGTTTATCTTATTTCTTTTTGAACGCTTCATCGTTTGTTCATTTTCGTAGTTGACTTTTAAACGTTTTTATTGTGGTATTTGGTCACTGTTTTGAAAAGGATGTGGAGAAGGAGAGGGGGCTTACCGTGCGTGAGAGAGCTTGACCTCTCTCCGTGGAGGATCAGCATTTTTATGGCGAATGCCAGCAGACTTTGGTTTTGAGCCCACCACTTTGTTGTCTTTGCCCATTTCGTTTTCTTGTGAACTTTGTCCTTTTAAATTTAAAGACGCTGATATGATTGTAGCCTGACTTTTTTCTTTATAATTATTTCAAGCACTGCTTAGAAATTCACTAAACAGATTTACTTTCTTCTGATCTGTTTAAAAATAGCCAAGTCTTTCAGGGTGTACATTTCGATTATTCAAAAACAGGCTGATTTTGAGCATTTTCTCACAGTTGTATTCTGTCTCTTCCTCACTGTCAACAATCAAATCCTAATTTTAATTAAATGAGGAGGTTTAGACTGAAAATACTTGGTCGCATGAGACATCTCCGCTGCTGTTGCTTTTCCTATACACCAGGTTTGCAGCCTGGAATTCTTGCCTTCTTTTATTTCTTCCTCCTTTGCTTTGGGAAAGGGCAGCTTCTGCCTTCTTTGAGGTTCCACAGCCTTTATCTATCAGTATCTGTTTTAAAGATTTATTTATTTATGCCTACAGAACTGGGGTACAGGCCAGAGGTGTGGTGGGTGAGAAGATTCACCAGAGATAGTGGAGAGCAGAACAGGCCGATGGACGACGGACATTGCTGAGGGGAGCAGCGGGCGGGTCAGGAGAGGTCTGCCGCGCCCTGTGGTCACCTCCGGGGCAGGCGGGAATCGAACTGTGCTGCTGTGGCTTTGGAGATCTTCATAATGCTGTGCTTTAACCTGTTGCGCCACCAGGGAGAGCCCCTTTATCTATATTTTTAATAACTATATTGCAGTATTTTTAAATAGATTTATTTATTTATCCACACAAGAACTGGGGTACAGGCCCGAGGGGTGTGTGTGTGGGGGGGGGAGAGGATTCCCCAGAGACAGTGGGGAGCAGAACAGGCAGATAGACTGAAACACCCTGCTGAGGGGAGCCGCGGGCAGGCCAGCAGGGGTCTGCTGTGCCCTGTGGGTCAGCTCCCCGGCTGGGGATCGAACTGGAGCTGCAGCAGCTGCGGGGAGCTTCATAGTGCTGTGCTCTAGCACATTGCGCCACCAGGGAGGGCCCTGCCTGCAGTATTCTTTTTTTTATTTTTATTTTTAAAGATTTCTTTATTTGTGCATACAGAACTGGGGTACAGCCCATAGGCTCAGGGGCAGTGAGAGGCTTCACCAGAGACAGAGTGGGGAGCAGAACAGGCAGATCGACGAAGTACACTGCTGAGGGGAGCAGCGGGCGTGTCAGGAGAGGTCTGCCTCGCCCTGTGGTCACCTCCGGGGCAGGCGGGAATCGAACTCATGTGGAAGCGGCTTTAGATTCTCAGTGCTGTGCTGTGACCCGCTGCGCCCCCAGGGAGGACCCTGCTTGCAGTATTCTTAATAGAAATTAGCGGGTCACGTCATCACGATGTCACTCCCGCTCTTGCACCTGACACCTGCTGTCTGTGCCACACACTGTGTCTGTGGCCAGGCCTGGCAACGGGGTGTCAGGTTGACGTCCTCCTCACGCCGTGGCCACGCCCACTGAGGGTGAGGGGCACCTGTCAGGTGCTGCCCAGGACGGGTCAGAGCGGCATTCAGGAGCGAGCGCAAAGCTGGGCCTCCTTCCTGGGGTGGAGGCCGCCTTGCACAGGCCCACCCAGCCCGACTCGCCATCTTGGCCGTCCTCAGCTCTACTTCCTGGCTGTAAAGTAGGAGTAAACGGAAGGACCTGCGCTGAGAGTGGGCGTGGAGAATAGGTATCTGTGAACCAGACTGAGTTCCTGGAGAACAAAAGGAGAAAAAGAAGACACAGTTCTGCGTTGCTGTCCGCTTGGACGGGGGAGCTGCGTGTGGTTTTGGGTGGTCTCGGGACGCCCGGAGTGCCGAGCGGGGTCCGGCCCTCGTGCCCCTTGCCTGTGGTCCTGCCGTGTCTGCGCCCCACGAGGTGTCTGCCACGCCAGGGCGATGCGCTCTGCGGTGTCACATCAGTTCACACCAGGGCCAGTGACGCGGGCCGCACGCCCGCCCGCCCCGCAGGGCTGGGGAGACCCGAGGGCCGCTGCTGGCCCTCAGAGGCCCGTTTCAGGGGCAGGCGAGTGGGGCTCCCTGACTGGTGGACGGAGGAGGTCAAGGCTGCCGTGCGCAGGGACATGGGTGGCGGCACCCTGTGTTTGGGCCTCTGGGGCTCGGGGCTCGGGGTTCTGCATCGTGGCTCTGGTCAGACTGTCGGGGTGTCTGCTGCAAACCAGCCCTGTGTACCCACTGGGGCTTTCCGTGTGCTCTGCCTGTGTTTCTCTCGCTTGTAGCTTCCCAGACCGCAGAGGGAGCAGCCTCTTGCTTCCTTTGCCTTTGCTGAAAGCTTGCGCAGCGACCACCGTCGGTCAGACCGACGCAGACACAGAGAAGGCTGGGAAGGACGGTCGGGGTGCTGGGAAGTCAGTGTCACCGCCGAGCCAAAATAGTGACCAGAGCGCATGTTTCTGTTGTTGGGGGGCGGCTGTTTCTGCATCTCAGATCTTCCGTGGGTGGCCAGGGACTCCCTTGCTCTGGACTGGGGGCCATGAGCTTGTGGAGAAGCTCACCCGGCCACCGTGATGGATCGAGGGCGAGCCCCTGCCGCTGGCCAGCCGCACCACGTCCCGTGGACGCTGCCCCTAGCTGAGGCCACCGCTTCCGCTCCTTCCCTCTTAGCTAAAGGTGGCACGAAGCGATTCTTCCTTCTCTTTCCTACGTCATCTGTGTTTTCTCCTCTCGGCTGGGCCTTTCTGGGGGAGTTCACG